TTATCACATCTTGAGGGTCATTTGTTAACAGATAAAATTATATATGCATACAATTTTATATAAATATATATTTAATTTAATACACATAATTATGATTGTGTTTAGGCGTTTTTATGATATGGCTATTTTTAGAGCAGCCTTGTGAAGGAACGCTCAATTACATTTTATATGGGAACTATTCAAAGTCCATGTTTGATTAACAATATAACATAAATTATATCAGGAATTGAAATTGATTTAAACATGGAATATTTTTTATATATTAAAATTATGTAAACAATATTCTTCCGCACAGAACGATAAATGTACATATATTGATAATGTACGAGTAAACATACTTTTATCGAAATTTCAAAAGTAGTAAAGGAAGTGAGATCGTTGAATGAATTATTAGAATAATTAATTATGATAAATGATATAAAAATAATAAATTTGCATATGCTTTCTTTATTAAAATAAAATACTAAAGCTGGTCTGTTCTTTGAGTCTACCAAGGCAAACCAGGAAGAAGCTTATGATGTTATTTTTTAATAAAAACTATAACATATGAATATACGACATGCAGACTTTGAAGACAAAAACCGTATTGGAAATTTTGTCAAAAATATTTATGGCAACGTGATTATATTCAATAATTTTCAAAAATTTGTCATCTGTAGTTTAGTCATTATAGTAAGTTCACCTCGGAGTTCGAGATACCCAGCAGTATCTCAAAACCTACATATGGTAGAGTGTACGTACCATATGTAGGTTTTGAGACAACTTTTAAATGTCAATATACAAGTATATACAGACTTACAACTGGGTATTTCGAATTCCGAGATTCTTATCTTATTTAAGCTTAAATGACTGGTCCTTTTTAACCAATAGGCGAAGTAAACTAAAACGGCCAGGGGGTTAACAATTCCAATGTCTTATTTTAATTTTAAAAGGATTTTACCTAGTAAGTTCACCTCGGAGTTCGAGATACCCAGCAGTATCTCAAAACCTACATATGGTAGAGTGTACGTACCATATGTAGGTTTTGAGACAACTTTTAAATGTCAATATACAAGTATATACAGACTTACAACTGGGTATTTCGAATTCCGAGATTCTTATCTTATTTAAGCTTAAATGACTGGTCCTTTTTAACCAATAGGCGAAGTAAACTAAAACGGCCAGGGGGTTAACAATTCCAATGTCTTATTTTAATTTTAAAAGGATTTTACCAAACAATAGCTACATTATTCAACTAATGCAACATATAAATGAATTGTGGTTGCATTTTTATAGACATTACTCTGTAGATAACCTTGATCTGGTTTTCCATCAGAAATATTCATCAGAATAGTTATAATAACTATTTATTTCATTTATCTTTTGTAAAATTTCTTGTTTAGCTAATTAACTTTTTTATTTGCTATTTTTATTGTTCACACCTTTATCAGTTTGTCACTTTCATAGAGGTTATATAAAAACAACTATTGAATTTAACTTAAAATTAACAATATATATTATAAAACAATTAAATAACGAATTCTTAAAAATTATATTAAGGTCTTGTAAACTAAGCAATAATGCCCACAACCAACAAATTGCAATAAAAGAAAATACTTTCGTTATGGAGTTTCAAAATTTGCTTTTTTTCCCGAGAGCAATGTCGTAAGAATCAAGGTGATTGCTGTTTATACATCTCTATCCCTCATGAAAAATTTAAAATTAAAAAAAAATCGAAATTTGAAAACAAATTCAAATTTTTGAATACCCAAAAAAATTAAGAATTCTCAAAAATCTCATTTTTTCAGTTTTCAATAAATTGTAAAATTTAAAATTAAATTATGGTACGGAAAGTTGTAGAAATTTACCTTAAGGCGCGATGCCATGCACCACTGCTTCTGATAATATCTCAAATTCCTGCATTCATTTTATTTCGATGCTGTTGGAAAAAAATGTATGATATCTAATGTTTGAAAATGTATATAACTATATTGATCAGGTTCTATTCAATTTGGGATTTGATCTCAGTGGGAATGCCGAGCCCGTACCACTTATTGCGCCACGTACTCCTCAATCACTGAAATAATTTTCATTCACAACTTTTCTTTAAATAGTCAAATAGCTAGCATATGGGGAGAAGGCAACGGCGTTTGTTCCATTCATTCATTTATTTACAAAAGCCGGTAATATACAACAGGCAACCCTTGAGAATTAAAAGCAAATATACGGACTCGCATGCGATCCGGTCATATTTGCATAAAACAATTTGATATTTATATTGCCCGCACTGCGTTCTGTTTAACTTCGCTCTCTCTAGTATTTAATTTGTTTTATGTTTTGCATTTATTACCCCTTGCATATGTACAACACGTATTTCAAACCCTTTCTGTACCGTCAATTTCGGTACGAGAGCTTTTTCATTCGTTTGCTATTTTTACAATACGCTAATTAATTTTTAATTTTTATTTAATTCCATCATTTTAATTGTTTTTATTAATGCATTGTATTAAAAATTACAAATATGGTGGATTTGGGTGCATTGGCAACATGCCTGACTCGTATGCGGGAGGTACTTGCGTGGTGTCCTGCTACTGTGTAAATATTAATAGGGAAAATACTGACAAAATCAGATTGTGTTTTGTATTTTAATAATATTTATTTATTCATATTATAATGGTCTCAATTGTTTATACCGATTTTTGATTTATTGACTACCAGTAACATAGTATTTTAATTAAGTAGGAATTATAATAACATATTTATTCAAGGAAACATATAATATGGACAAAATAACATATAGGGTAAAGACATACTGAGGTGCTATTTTTTAAGAAAGCAGTTCACAATAAATAGTTTCTTCTTTTTGGGGACATTAGCACATGAAGCATGAACCCAAAGGGTACATGTCATACATTTTCATAACCAATCTTTGCCGGGCACTAAACGAAAAAACATCGTTTTGCAACAAATGCAAGTCTCTTTTTTTACCGGTGGGTTCTTTGGTCTTTAGCAATTATTTCTTGCCTACTTAGAGTAGAAGTCGAATACCAATCACCTTTGACAGGTTTTAATTTTTAAAGTAAAACTTTTTTAGGCGCGACTAGGGTGTAAATCCGTATAAATGCAACGGAAGTGCGTTACGGCTCTTGATGAAATTATTTCTATACGGGTCGATTGTGATTAGACGTCGTGTAGGTGAATAGAGATATGTCGTTGTATGCGTACCGGCATCAACGTTGTACGCGTTCCGAAATCAACAAGGAAATCGGCATAGATAAATGAACATTTTAAAGTTACATCGTGGTACAAATCTTGATTTGATGAAACATGTCTGAATCAAAAGAATATTTGTTCAATGAAATAACGTAAGTTTATTGATTAGAAATTATTTCTATATTATTCGTAGTTTCTATAAACCTTTGAAAATATTCATTTTTTAGGCAAGACATCAATTATTACAGCTGTTTAAAGAATGAGATTATATGGCCAGCGAAAAAGTAAAAAAAATACAAGCAGTCAATGAATGTATGTTAATTTTAATTACATGAAGTTTTTCAAACACAATTACACGATGACTGAAGTAGCGAAAACAATATTTGTTTAGGCGTTGTTTAATATAATCCACTGTGTGAACGAATATTATACAATTTAATAATTAGCAATTACTTTATTTCTCTAAGTAAGGTTCATTTCTAAATGCTAATTACAATGACAAACCGATCATGTCATATTTGAAGTATGACTTTAATTACATTATTGTTTTTAAATATTATACATATTTTTAATGCTATTATAAATATATAATTTATAATTTATCAATATATATATATATATATATATATGTATAATGATTGACACTAATAAATGTGTGCATCATGAGTGTTACCATATTACTAATAAACATTATTCAAAATTGTTATATGATGTATTTGTTTTTACCTAAATGCCATCTTGTACAGTAGCAAATAAGTTTTACTTCAATCGCGTGTGAACCTTAGGCGCACTCTTTTTTTTTCTTGGCCATGTAATGCTTGCGAAATAGTAATGTTATTATGTTCATTGCATGAGTATGTCATTTTGTCCGGAATTGAACAAAAAGGAATAATTAATAAAAATTTTATCAAACTGATTATTACAATAAAATTGATCGTTATCACTAATACTGGTAATAGTTAATTGGTTTTAATTGAAATAATTATGATTATCATTAAATAGGTCCTTAAGATACATGAGACAATCAACTTTTTAAGACGCCTAACATGTTTAAACTGATTACTGCAACATAACTGTGACAATGACGCTCAACATCTGACAGGATTGTGATTATAGCTTTCTTAAGGTTATACTGTCATGAAAACGATAATAAAACTAACCAATTTTGAAATAAAGTGTTCATATATACCATTTCGTCCGTATTTTTCATATAATAATACAATAAATATAATAAGAATAGAACAACTTATACTTATCGTATAGTGCAATAATGTGCATCACAGTACAAGTATCGATTCTTAAACTAACTATCCGATTTTTTTATTTATTATTAATTTCTCTCGAGAATAGTATTTATGAATGTTATGATTTTTCTACTATTCAAATATAGAGAAAAGTTTGCTGGTTTGCACAAGTAAATATTTGTCTCTAACATTTGAATACGATGAATGCAGGCATGTTGAAACGCCAATTTTTGTTCAAATATATAGAATTTTTCATTTATTTTTTATCTTACCAGATTTAAGATTATGACTTCAGTAAATATTTCAAAATATAATTTAGCACAGGCGCTTATGAGAAAAAATACTCTATCAACTAACTATCTAGAACCAAGTAACAGATAAATTACCATGATCAAAAATGTTTTTTCTCTAACCAAATGCATTTCAAAGAATTCAATTGGAAATTTCTATTTTTTAATATTTAGTATGCTGATAATTATACAAATATTTCTTGATATATTTATTATAAATTATTTATTGTATTACTAAATAAATCTAATATTTAACCTAATATCTCTATTATAGAATTACTGGATGCTCAAAATCCGGAACCAACATTAGTCGAAGAAAAACCAAAGCAAAATGGTGCAACTCCAGCTAACGTTGTCGAAGTACATTGTGATCCCAGAGAAATGACAATGCTTTATATACAAGTAATAAATTAATACAAAAGTTATTAATAAGATTTTTTTCATATAGTTCTATATTTATTTCATTCTATATTTATATGGTTACTTGATTTTTTATCTTAGGTGAATCACACAAAGAGTGAGTTGCAAATTTTAGAAAATGATGTTAAAAGATTAACTAAAGAGTTGGAAGGCTTACGAGAAATTCAAACCGAATTGCTAACAGAACTAAATAGTACAGATAGTAATATGCTGTTACTTACTGGAGGATCTCCTTTGGATATAGATCCATTGAATGCCGTAGTTTTGGTAATCAGAGAGAAGCTTCTATTTTCTCAAGATACAATAGGTATGTAATTAGCAAGTTGAATTTGATGATTAAATATTAAAATTCCATTATTACTCTTGATACGGAATACTTTGTGACGATGAAATGTTGATACTAACCTGAGAAATTTAGTTTGTTTCGTGATCCATAATTTGGCACCTTTAATTCCATAGGATATCTGTATATGTTTCTATGGCGATAAGCTATAACTACATCCACAAAATGTATTTATCAAAAGTTGCATTAAAAGCGAAACGAATATTAAAAATTGATTCTGGATTTTTTTGCGAAATTTACCTGTATAGGGGGGACTGGGTACTCTTATGAAACTTTTTTTTTGATCAGCAATAATGTTAGCTGGGGGAAAATCAAATTAAATGGTAGTTCAAATATTTGTCTAGAGGAAATACTGAAATGCATTCCTTAAATACGTCATAAAAACAAATCATACAAGAAAAAGGAGAGTGTCACAACCGTTCACAACCAAAGGACGTTTGTGACAGCCATTTCTTTTTTGTATTCTAGATTTTTTTATCCATTTATTCTACTCCCGAAAAAACAAGAAGTACATATCATTACCATATCCCAAAATTTGTCACAACCATACTCAATGCATACTTTTAAAAACAAATCATAATTATTACTGAGCTAAATTATATAAACAAATTGCTGGCAAATAACTACTAATGTTCAACTTTCAAGTAAGGTAATCTATCTAGATACAATTAACAGATCATGTTATTGTAAGGAACTGAGAGTAAGCAATAATGTGAACTTGTTCGAACAATCATATTTTATTTTTCGCTCTTTGGATCCTATCTCAAAATCAGTATAGATTAGCTGTTATTACAACTGTCGTTATTGTACCCTGGCACAATGGTACTCAATTTGCCCTAATAATCGTCCAAAATTAGATAAATTATTCATATAATAAAAGTATCCAATATAAAAATATGGTTGGCTAATTAATTCGTTATGCTATTATCTTTCTGAAAACTCTGTGAATAAAATTTGTGCCTAACAAATAAAAACTGACCTATATATGTATATATAACATATAACATATCTCAAATAACAAAGAGATTTTTTATAATTTCTATAATATATTGATCTACATTATCGAATAAGCAAAAAATACACCAGCTGCCCATCTCATTTTCTATGGTAAGGACAACGATCACGTCATAAATAAAAATCAAAATTTCCAGCTCATATTTTAATATCAATTCATCTATAACTATAACATTGTTTTATATTTTGTAGTTGTAACAAATGCTTCAAGGCTAGGTGATGGGTCCATATGGTTTACAGTAAACTCATTTGAGCAAAAAATGAAACTTCTTGCCAGATCGAGAAGCCGTCTGGCAAATTCTAAGTTGAAGATTGAAAGTTATAATCCAACTGAGGAAATACATCATTTAGATCTAAGATTTCCCTCGGATGATGCACATGCAGAACGTTGATCATGAGAAAAAATCTTCGAGAGATGATGATTGATTAAGAAGTTTAGTTTTTGAAATATAGGGTTATAATTAATTTGGATCGAAATTAGATTCAGAGACATCTGCGCTTTAATAACATGGTATTTGGCAGTTGTCAGTATATATTTTGATTATTTTATTGCAGAAAATCGTTTCGCATTCGAAAACTGGTGGTGCTTCTAGTAATTTTATGGTTTGTTTTGTACCAGGATATCACCATAAAATTATGATCTTTTTTATATATTTCTTCACAAATTCATTTTTTATTGAAACACTTATTTTATTGCTAACACCCAAAAGTTGTTAAAAATGTAACTAAATGTATGGTTACTGTCAAGCTAAGTGCCATATGTATATTTTTGTTGCGAATATTAGTTCCTATTAATGAAATCATTATGAAAATTTTTTTTTTTTTAGTGAATCCAAATTAATTAGTTAAGTATTTTTAAAATATATAATAATTTACTTGCTTTAAATTATTGACCAACATTTTGATACAATTTACCATTTTTTTACCACTTGTAAATTTCATTTACAATGTAGTATAGTAGTTAATTTAAGTTTAATAAAAACAATTTTACTCAAAATTTTTAAATTAAGATTAAGTTAAGTGCTCCACTCGTTACATTTTATATTTAAGTGTTTTGTCTAACTCCTCATTAGTTTTAGTTAGTTCATTGTCGTAGACATAAAGCTGTGCCTTATAGTATGTTTTAGCAATCAAAATTGTGAACTTGTTGATATTAGAAATTAAAGATACACATCACACAATAAAGGTATGAAATGATTTTTTTCACTTAGGAAATTATATTATAGGTTAGATGCATAGGATAGTACGAAAAGAAAGATGGTTTTCTTATTAGCAGGTGTTTAAACATAGTTTACAAGTTGTTTCAAGGACTGTAAACAGGTAAACTTATTACATTTATTTTTTCATGTGTTGTTAATCACCGATTTCTAACATACAGATAATCTGGGAGTTGTGCTAACTATTTCTGAGGTATGCATATTGCTAGTAGATACTTTTTATACATAATTTTTCCTGAGTTGGTAATCTTTCAAACATTTTTATAGTTTAAAATATTTAAAGTAAAAATGTGCAAAAAATGCTGTCTGTTCTTCTTTGTGTAGAATTAATTAAACTTTTTACACAGCATACGTACATCTAATAATAAAATATTATCAACCTGAAATCCATTTTATCATTCTAACTAGTACTTTTAGTGTACAGTCAACCCTCGGTTAACGCGGCAAGTGCGTACCGTGTAGTATGAGGACCGTGCTATAAGAAAACTCTTATTTAACATACAATTCAGGCTAATTTGTAGTGCGTTCTATGGAAACTTATATAGTGCAGTATCGAAACCGCGCTATGAGAAACTCAGAGTTAGTACAAATTGCACCATTTTCATCGTGCTGTTTGGAGACCAAGGAATAAAACTTGAAGTAGGAGTAATACGGACGAAGTGCATGTATTACATAGACACCTTATTCAAAAATTGGCGCGACGCGGTAGTGAGCTCAAACGTGTTTTGGACAACTATTATATAATCAGGCAAGTCTAAAAGATAAAAGTCGATCACAAAACTTACATTAATAACCTTTTGATATCAAGTTACTAGAATCACTCATAGGTTGCGCAAGGAAATTATGAGCTGTTGAACAAAAACCGTGTAATAGGAAGTCCGTGTAGTCGGAGAGATGTCGGAGAGTGCCGTGTTAACCGAGGGTTGACTGTATTAATACATTTTTCTGCATTGTAAGTGAATATAAATAGGTTAGCAAGTATGTGTAAACATTCAAATACAGACATAATGATGAATATTTAAAATTCACATTTTACAAAGTCATAAACATTAAATTATCTGGTAAATATAAATAATTGTGTCATAATTATTACAGTTTTGCAATAATAATAAAACAACCATATATGTAACTACTTAACGCTTTGGTAATGCCCAATCAATATATATATTTGTCAAAAATGTATGGGTAAAATATTCAAACAAAATGTTTAAATTGCAGTTTACTTAATACGTGAAAATTGTATCTTAACATCATTTTCTTTATCACTGATATTGCACTAATTGTAATAAGAAAATGAGCCTCTCAATGAGAAAATTAGTATAATTTTGATTTTTCAGCAGTATGGGCCAAAAACATGGGCATGAAAGCGAGACAAAAATTATTGGATGACTCTGATTTGTAAACTTAGAAATGTAGAATAAAATAATTAAACAAATTGATTTCTAGAAGTGATACGAAGAAATAGTGAAAAAAGATCTGTACTGAATACTATGATGAAGCAAAAATAAATATGGATGGGTCCTTTGTTTCACAAGGCAATTTCCCAAGCAGAACTTTCACGAAAATGCACAAAAATGGAAAAATCGTATAAAAAATTATCTGGTTATGCGCTACGTATGACTTTGATCGCAAAAATCATCGGAACTATAAGGTAAGGTATCTATTAAAATGATATTATATTCATTGTTTTTTTATTGTCATATGACTAATTTATATAACATTGTTTTTTTATTGTCATATCAATGTATGTTGACATATAGACGTTGTTAGAGGTTTTAAGGTATTTGTTATAGGTCTCAAATAGCAAAAAGTGTAATTTGACATTTTGAATATAAATACTGATATTTGTTAATATGTGTGAATATTAGACATATTAAATTTAAAGCATTTCGGAATTTTCAAAATATTATAAAAATTCACTCTTTGAACGAACATCCTAAAATATTATGGAATTTCGGCAAGTGATTATATAAATCCATCAAAGTTGGAATATTGAAATATGCCAAAATTTAAAGTTTGAAGTTGCTAAGTCTCAATTCTTATTGATTAAATCGATTATTATTTACATGTATTGGACAGTTATTCAAACATGCCTTAAGGCAGTGGCTTCCAACCTTTTTAACTTCCCGTAGGGTAATTATAACTTTCCCTCCAAGTTATAGTAATCGCAAAAAAATCGAAAATGAAAATTTTTATATACCTTTACGATTCAAAGGTTTCTGAATATTTTAGCATGCCTTAGAAAAAATGGATGTATGTGTATGTGTACGTGTGTGTGTGCGTGTATGTATGTGTATGTGTATGTGTGTGTGTGCAGATACAAATTTTCGTCTACGATTTCATGAACACCGATCAACCGATTTGAATAATTCAAAAATCGATTCGTATTCGATGATAAGGTGTGTGCTGATTAGTTTTTGGCGAAGGCAGGTCTAGCCGTTTCGAAGATACGGAGCAAAAAAAAAAATCGGTCGATTTGAATGATTAGAAAAACATTCGATTTGTATTGATGTAGAGTGTACTGATTAGTTTTTGGTATAGACAGGTCCAGCCGTTTCGAAGAAATTCCGATTCGATCCTCATAGTTAGTAGATAAGAAAGTCAACACTGATTTTTTTTATGTTTGATTTTATTTTAAAGTTTTTTAATATTTTTTATGTTTGTATAGTTGATACTATATGAACTATTTAAAATTGTTAACTCAGAGCATATATTTCGCGAATGAAAAATTGATGCATTTGAAATGAAATATGTTCATTCTAACAATAAATCCGCTTAATTAGATTTTGTTTATATATATTTGATTCAAACATATATAAATAACGTCGTCTAATCTAATGTGTTTTCACATTTTGTCTACAAGAAACTTATAATGAAAATTTTAGTTATTATAATATTTATTCATAGACATTTTTGTTGACTAATTATTTTTATTCTTCGAATGTTTAATTACGCCTTAGCAATTTGCCTTAAGGCAGCATGACATGCACCACTAGTTTGCACCGCGCCTACCTGTTCTAATAAAAAAAATTGTTGCGCACCCCCTTAATTTTTTCAACGGTTTAATTTTATAAAGATTCAACTGATATAAAAATATGCATATTTTCTGGTAATTTCTGTTAATTTCACCGAAAGTGTTGGATTATTTTTTATAATAGTATTCTGAAAACAGATGTACGCGCCCCCTCTTAGATCAGCCTGGCACCTCATACGTTGGAAACCACTTACATAGAATTCTTTCAATAATATCGATATAAAGCAAATAAATGTGAATTTAACAATATTCCAAGTCGAAAATGTTTTGTGAAGGACCATTCATGAATCTATATTATTTATTTATTTATTTATTTATTTATTTAAATATATAGCCCACAGATTTCTCCAAGAGGACTCAAAAATACAATTATTTGACATAATGAATAACAATTAAAATATATACAAAATTATAATATATAGTTAGTAACATAAAATGCTAAGATAAAATTTCATATAATGCAGAATGTAACAATAATATTTATAAACAGAAAATAATGAGATATTTGAAAGAAAATAAAAAGATTAACTTGTGCAGATGGAGATTATTTGATTAGGTGAAGTGTTGTGAATGTCTATTTCATTATTAATTAAGTTAAAGTTAGAGGACATAAGTAAAATTGGCGAATTTAAGAGAGAATTAGATTTAGGGGTAGGATAATTGAAAAATAATTGTGAACGCGAAGATAGCCTTGGAACATTAAAGGATAGTTGATTGAGAATAAGAGGACAGTCTATAGAATTATTGCAAAGCTTAAATAAGAACATAATTGTACAGATAAATCGACGTGAGGCAAGGGAAGGAATACCAAATTCTTTTAGTAAAGTGCTGTGGTCAAAGCCACGTTCAGGGTAAATTTTATATGTTTTATAATAAAGGTATTTCAGAAATTTTCGCTGAACCTTCTCTATCGCATCAGAGTTGTTGATATGATGAGGATACCAAATAATCGAACCGTATTCTAATTTTGAAAAAAATTAATTAATAAAATTATTTTTTTTATTATGATTTGTGTATATGAAACAAGTGACAATTACACTGGCAATTACGTTGACCTTTGTTTTCTTTTATGGAAAAAAGTTCCATGGTAATTTTATATTCAAATTACTCAATTATTCTCGTGTTAGCATACTTATAATTTCAGTTGAAGTTCTCTTCCATTCCTTGTCATTCTATTACTTTTATCATTTATATTCTAATTACATCGACCTGTTGGAGTTTTAATAATTTTATGACTACGTTTTCATGATAATTACTTGGAAATTTGCAGAATCCAGAAATTACTTAATCGTAAGTTGGTTAAAGGTAGAAAGAAGGTTTATGTAGTATGTATTTTGTTTGCAAGCAATTGACAGAAACTTTTTTTCAAACAACTATAATTAATCGAAAAATATATTGTTGATCATATTTTTATTTTCAATTTGTAGCCACAACTACTCAATATTTTAT